TTTCCTTTCTTTCTTTCTTTCTTTCTTTCTTTCTTTCTTTCTTTCTTAATAATATTTTATATTTTCTTTGTGCGTGCGTGTCTACGAATTCTTTCTTTTGTCTTTCTGTCTTTCTTCCTTTCTTTCTATCGTTACGATATTTTGTCTTTTCTTTGTGAATGCTGGCTTAAGAATTATTTCTTTCTTTCTGACTGTCTTAAGAACTGGAAAAATTAAGAACATAAAGAAACATAACACTATTTCCTTCTCAGATATATCCTCATTAAAACATGTACCATACGAAGTAAATATTAATGCGCATAAAAAATGTCACCTTCTCTTTATTTAATGTAGAAATTTGTAAATAAAAAGCTGTTTGGTTTTGAAATCAAAACAGAAGGAATACAATATTGATATAAAAATTAATCGTAATAAGTAAGATAAGAAATTATTAAAAGAAATATTTTCAAAATTAGAGCAAAATACAAAAAAAAAAATACTTTTCTAATGTTTAATGCAGACATCAGCAAAGAGGCCCATATTAATACAGCTTGATAATAATAGCAAAATTTATAGATGTGAATACACTTGTTCGTTTTTTTTTATATCTTTTTATATATACGGGGTGTAACAGCAAAATTGTTCAAACCGTGTAACAGCAAAATTCTCCAATTCCCAGAGTAATATTTCAACTGTTGTATCTTAGAAATGATTAAAGATATCGTACTGGAATTCTACCAGGATTATATAAAAATACTGGACTCTACTTTAAACAATAAGAATGTATTGAGCTCTAAGTTGAAATGATGATCCATCTTGCTGTTTTAAACGTCTGAAAAATGTTTTCCTCTCCACTGTTTCCATTCTTTTGATAGTTTTTGAATGGACTTTGAAAATGGAAGCCAGAGTATGAATATTGGTACCATTACTGAAGGCCTGAATAATCTTTTTCCTCTCACCATTGCGCATTTGGGAAGATGTAGTAGAGCTGACACAAAACGATTTTAACCTCTTCTATTCCTAGCTGAATAACTCAAAGGATTTTTTTACAGTTATTCTTACGACAGATAATGTGAAGATGGCTAGACATCTTATCTGAAAACCTGGAAAAAATAAACTCAATTAGTTCAGTGTTGTTTTAAATATTTAATATTTTTGGAGATGGACAATTATCCTATACTGTTACACAATTTGGATGGTTTTGCTTCTACACCTGGTATTTCTTGTAATGCTCACAATTTATATAGGAATGTTTTTTTTTTGTTTTTTTTTAGTTTTTCTGCATGTCTCTTTTTTAGCTTCCTAAACCCTAATGCAAACAAATCCTCAAATCCTGCTCTAATTTGCAATATTCCAGCTGTAGACAAATAAATAAAGTGTGAAATCCATAGCATTGGCTTCCTGCTGGTTGAGCAGTATTTCAAAATTAACTTGTAAATCATACCTCAAGGAGAGCACATAGCGACTAACCTGGTTCGATATAGGGTTTCGGAGCGTAACACTTTGATCCCAAATCCGTACGTAAAAAAAAAAAAAAAAAAAAAAAAAATCTTCGACATATGTTAGGGGTATTAATTTAGGAGGAAAAACAGGATGCAAATGGAGAACGAATTTAATTGAATGCGGAAATAACATAACGAGGAGTAAAACTCAAATGATTCAAAGATGAATCAGCAATATTATTTGTCCTGACATGGCGACTCGGGTTCAGTCACTTTCCCACCGCCTCAATGTTTCCTCTCTGTGTATTTTCTATAAATGCTTTCATAGGAATTGTTCGGATGAGCTCTTCACTGTGGGCTAATTTTAAATTGATGTTTTATTCCTCTCTCCCACATACAATGAATTGTACATAAAGGGACTAGTTAGGACTTTCATAGAGACAATGTGGTATTATGGTGGGTGTAGTAAGAAAGGTAGGTAAGAATGCGTTGTTTTAGTGTAAGGAATATTGTTGTATGTTTGGGTCAGTGATTGTGGATAGCTAAGTTTAATGTTAAGACAGAAGAAGGCCGTCCTTTTAGCCGTTCCCCATTTTGTGCCACATTTCTGTACATAGCAGAATAAATATCACTCTTCGCTTTGGTATCTAGATTTTTTTTTTTTAATTTAAGTGCAGTACTAGACTTACGTCAGGATCTAATCAATTTAGAGATGAGCTGGCTAAATGTAATCATAAGTTCGGTACTAACAGTTTATTTTCCTGCACTTATCGCCTGTGAAACTGTTCCCGTTCCATGATTTCCAGTCAAGCTGCAAAGATTTAAATGCAGTGTTAATTGTTATCTCCCGATGACACTTTTCTCTTCCCGCTCTTTATTAATGTACCTGTTCCTAATTCTTCCTCGCCCAGTAACCCTTTGTGTCTTAGTGGCTTTATTGTCTAGCATGGGGTGATATCAATTTTAAAAAAAGACAAATATGATTTTTCTCACCGGATTTAATTAAAGTATACATCGAGATGATCCTAGCAGAACGTGGACATCTACAAGAATTTAGTACCGTCGTACATAATTTTACCTATCTAAAATACGTATATGCCATTGTGTTTATAGCTCACTTAGAAAGGTGACTGAAATATCGCTTACACAATTGTACAAAATGAAAATGAGAAGACAGAATAAATGGCTGACAGCAGAAGATACTGTACAAGATTAAATCTACGTATTTAGATGCCAAAATTAAACAACCACTGAAATTATTGTATAGAGAAAATCTTTTCGAAAATAATTGTTATAAAAACATTTATTCGAATTGTAATTTATTTGAATGAAAATTAATCAAAAGGACAATTACATTCAATGATAATTTCTTCGAAATAATTGAAATGTCAGTTTGAAACAGTCAATGGTGATTTACCAAGAACTAATAAGGCACTTTTTTGCAGCAAGTGTCATTCCATCACTCCACAATATGGAAATTCTTAGACGTTGTTAAAAGGCAACAAGACTTGCAAGAAATTCATATTGCAAAAGTAAAAGCAGGTTGTCAAGATATCAAGAGCGCCAAGAAATACTGCCACGTAAATGGAAAACATAAAAAAATAATGGCATCCTTTAAGGAGTACTCTTCAGTTGTTGACTATTTGCGTGCAGCATCATTTAATTTAAGGTTATAAGGATTAATTTTCTTACTAAATTGTATTATTAACGATATTTGTATTTCGGATAATTAACATTTATGTATTTCCTCTTTTAATTTTTACATTTTTATTGCTGTAAAGCTTTTCTTTTCTGAATAGTTCTTTTTTAGTATAATTGTTCTTTCGATTAATTTTCTCTTTTCGTATAATTGTCCATTCATTTTCATCCAAACAATTTATAATTCGATTAAATGTTTTTCGATTAATTGCTTTCGAATAATTATTTTCGATCAATGTTCACATAAAGAAATTACATTACCTGGATATTGTCTTAAAAAAGCGAGTTACAGAAATACTAAGGTTCATTTGAATAGCGAAAACACTCTTCCAGAACGTAAATATCACTTCAAGAAACTGAGCAAAGTATTAAGAGATAGGAAATATACGTTAGAAAAACAAAGAGAATAATGTGAAACTGCTATAAATAATCCAATCTGCGTTATGGCAGTGAATGCTTGTAGTAACCTAGAAAGGGTTACTGAATAAGGAATAACCAAAACGGAGGTTGTAAATGAAATGGTAATCATCATGACAAAAAAAAAATACAATATTCGCCAGCGGCGTGAAGTATGCAAACCACTGCTAGTGGTGGACTACTTAAAAAGTATAGTACGATATTTACCTGCCTCTCCACGAGGTAAGACGTGGCACAAGGCCAAATTTAGTGTGAGGAAATCCGGGCTCGGTAAAAATTGTCAACAGACCCCGCATAAACGGGATCGCGTGTCTGTCTAACTGCCCCGACGAGACACTGTTCTTCGGCATAGCCTCGTATGGTTTCCTCTCTGCCCAAAGGCAGAGAGTTCGACATGGCAAGACCTTCCCACGCTGCCAGCGAACACAGTATATTACCCCCACTTGAAATAGTGTCCAAAGTATTTATGAAGATTGGTCATACACATCAGTGTTCATAGTTATGGTTGATAACAATGCTGGACACACAAATGAAGAAGATACTTGAATCGACAGAGATGTGATTGTACCAATGAATGCTAAGAATGTCATGGACAGCTCATGTGTATAAGAAGTAAGATTTAAGGAAAGGAAGAGCTTATAGCAACTGGTATTCATAAGCGGTCTGTTTTATTTTTGGTAACCTAAAACAATACAACAGGAACCATCTCACGACCATTCCTCTTTGTTCTTGTCCTGCCAATCATTTACTCCAGATACTTATGCGTCCTGGATAAGACGATAAACTAAATCCGCGTCCGGGGTATGATGATATACTACAGGCAACATCAAGGACACTGATCAGGTTTTGAGGAGCGTGGAACCACATCTTATTTGCTAGAGTTCCCAGGTCTACCCTGACCCGGTGTGGCAGCACTTGTTAGGGTCCTAGCTATGGATAAAAGTTAACCCTCAACCTGGGGTAAAACACCATGAAAGTATAAAAATAGGTTTTAATACCAGAAATACTTTGTAAGAAATTATTACCAGCAATACAATTTTGAAAAAAAAGTATTACCAGCAATAAAAAATCTTGTCGGCATTAAATAACCCATTGAGATGTTGATATGCCGTAAAACAAGCCAAACCAAGCAATATACTGCCTGAATCCCAGTGAGTTCAATAAGTTGCGAGCATGTTGAAATCTCCAAGAATTGATTCCTTATTTCTTTCGAAACAGAAAAAAGTGTGTGTGCGTGCGTGCGTGACAGGGGGGACTGCTGATAACATTTCTAGATTGAATATCTAATCTTTTATCTGTTGGTGAAATATGATGGGACGTGTACCAGATGCCATCTTATCATTGCAAGTAGAATTTATTTCCTGTTTCTCTTAAATTTTCCTTGTTGTTCACCGTCGAAGTCATTCTCATCATGCGTCGGTAGAACCACATCATTATTTGCTTTGAATTTTTACTTCATCCTGCTTACGGCCAAATCAGGTCGAAACACCTGATCTCGTACGGTCACTGAAGTTAAGCAATATCGAACCTTGTCATACCTAGATGGGTGACTACTCGGGAATACCAGCTGTTGTAAGCTTGTATGTGCGGTTGGTGTAATGGATAATGGCTCATAATTGGAAATCGGCGTGTCGAGTCGGGTTTTTTAGATTCACTCTTCGCACAAATACTCTTGGAAAATGTAGGATTCCACCTCTTTTCTTATTAATTATTGGTAATCTAAAAAGAAATATTTTCTGGCTTTAAATAACCGGCAAAAGTTTGATAAGTCGTAAAAGCCATTTCAATGAATGAATCGATCAATCTGTACTTCGTCTCTAAGGAGATTTTCCAGCATCTACTGCTTACACAGTAATCTCTCTCCCACAAGCGGGATGTAGCAAGCCTCTCACTGCTCAACCGCTACTTCGACGGAAAGTGCTCGGACGAACTCCTTTCCCTGGTCCGGCCGAGTAAGAATCTGCCATTCAACTCACCTAGTAGCAAACCACCCAAATTCCCCCTGTATTCCATTGGTGAGAAGAAAGTTCCACCCGAAAATCGTCTCCCTGCAAATCACTGCCCTGTGGAACCGACTTACAACAAGATGTTTCTCCGATAACTACAATCTTAATCCGATCAAGGCTAGGATTAACAGTTAACCTCCACTCCTATAAGTACAAATGATCTCCTAACGTAATACTCTACCTCGAGTGGCACCAGGACCTTGTAATGAGTGAACCTTACTATGAGAAAAAAGTTATACATTAAATAGATGTTCAGTACGCTTACCATAGTTTCCAATTTTGCTCTATCTTATTAGATTACTTAGTTTCTGGAAGTCATCATGCAATATTCTCGGCTTTTTGTCAAATCTAGTTTCTATTAGTAAATTAACTAGATAGTTAAAAACAGAAGCAATCTTTCAACATGTCGCCATTGATAAATATATTTTTCAAGGAAAATGAAGGGATAAGTATATTTTTCAAGGAAAACCAGTAGAAACCTTGAAGGGGAAAACAATGAATACAAGAGATATATTCAAAGAGAGGGCAAAGAGAGAGAAAAACAAGAGAAATGTTTATCTATAATTTTACATCTTTTGGTTTTTTTTTTTAATTCTTTCTGCTTTAGTTTTTGACCTTTTACTTTCTGCAGACAATTTATTTGCAGACTGCACCAAATAAATCAGTGCAGGTTTCTGTTTTGTGTAATATACTCGAAAACATGGCTCGGCATCAACAATCCTTCGTGATGCATACAAAAGAACACATTCTTTTGCAAACGGTTAAATGAAAGCAATGATCGTAATATCAATACATGGTTCATGTATACGTATTTTTACGTGTCATTAATAATTAAAACGTATAGAAAGCGATTAAATAGGGTAACTACTAGATTGTTTGACTGATTTGTTTTTTTACAGTTTATCATGCTTTTGCAGTAAATCCAGTAATGTTTTCAGATTGTAGGAATATTTGGAAATAATAATGATTTATCGATACAAGTTCTACTAATTAACCCATAATTGGGGGAGAAAATAGTTGAATTCATATCTTCTCCAAGGTTATTTGTGCGTAAGTGAATGTAACGATATCAAATGGAATTGGAACTTGGTTTCTCTGATTTCCAATTCCAAACCGTTATCCATTACTCTAGCCATACATCCAATCTTACTACTGCTGCTATTCACAGGCACTCAGCAATCTTTGTACTGGCAAGGCTCGACGCGCTTAAATTTCGGTGATCGTACGAGAAATGGTGTTTTAAGGTGGTATGGCCGTAAGCATGGTAAATACTAGAGGCGGGGATATCAGTTATACATAAATTTAGAGAGAATGGTGTATTGTATGATCCTGGTCATTTTGGGGGTTCAGGTGAGTGTGACGACAATGCTACTTTGATTTACCTAAACAGGATTTTCATATCTAGTTCAAGGATTTATATTTTCCAGTCAACAATTATGATAAAGCAGGAACTCTCTATTACAAATAGAGAATCCCAGATTCTAACTAAAAGGTATTCACCCAAAATAATCCCGCCTCGATTGTTTTTAAGGCTTATCAATCTTTTGTATGTTATTTTAAATAAATAAAAAAAAATGTCGGATGGTCATTTGTTGCTTACATTAACCAATGTTTCATGTATACTGACCATGCACGAGTGTTCGAACGAGAACCGGAATTTTCAGCGTGGTTTGGCCATAGGCCTACAAGGGACGAAAGAATATCTTGGAGAAGGCAAGATATTTAACATACATTGCTTTTTTTTTTTTTTTTTTTTTCATACAGTCAACACATGCAAGGTGTTCTTTTTCTTGAACTGAGGGTTGTGTAGGGACGGTCAAAACATATCTTGAAACACTGAAGCTGATTTTGAAACGCATTGTCTACCACCTAACTGGTCTCACAATGCATGCTCGTATAGCAATTTTCCAAGCGTATCTTAGATGTGGCACAAAGCCGAAAGTATGGGGCACTCTGTGAGAATCGAACTCACTACTCAGTCGTAATTGTTCTAGCAAGACAAGCTTGCTAACCATTACGCCGCCTCGAGTAGCCCACAGTGTATACTCCTATATATGTCTAGTAATTTTAGAAAAGAATGGGTGCATTATCTTCGCAATGTCGTTTTTATTTTTATTTTTTTATTTAGCTTAAAATGTGCTCCACACAACTGTATTATTACACACCAGGAATTAGTATCATTATAGGGGGAACTACTTTTGGACTGTCCTTTTTGTCTGTACACACACACACACACACACAAACACACACACACGTAGGAAACGTGACACTGCTTATAATCTTTAACAAATATACTATTAGTATGACGTAGGCGCTGAAATGATTCTTTTACTCTAACTAAAATATATGACTTCTACAAATCTCTGGAATTAAAAAAAAATCAAATTTTTCTATTTTAATATTAATTGTAATAGTTCTATAAAAATAAATATTTATTTTAAAAAAATCCAGACATATAAGAAAAAAGAATGAGGAAAAAGTCTTTGATATTTTTGTCTGTTTATTGCCTCTTTTCCATTTTTTATTGCTTCATATCCTGTTTATCACGTCACTGATGGCTGAGATAGCAATAGTTGACTGATATCATATTTACTCAACACTACCTCAGTCACACTCCTCAGAACAACCCTCCAGTCGACGAGTTAAGGCTGCCACTTCCTTTAATTTTCGCCGATATTAAATAGTGTTAAATTTAATTTACCCTTTTTCAATTGATATATTCCGCTAAAAAATCTTATACTGTACGTAATATATTATTTAAAATGAACATTTGAAAACTATAAGCTGAAATAAAAAAAAAACAAAAAAACATGTTCTTTGAAAAACAGGGCATACAGGTCATTGGAGGTTTTAGAAAGAGTATTTATATAATTAAAGCAAGAAATACATTGCCTATTAAGTATGTATACAGCCTGGGAGAGCTCAGATCTACGCAGCCAGAGTAGTCACGTTAATTTTATTCCATTCTATTTTATTTACTTAATTTCTTTGTTTTTGTTTTTTTTCATTCTTCTTTATTATGAACAATATCAACGAAATGTATTTCGTCCTATATTTTGAGTTACGGAGTTAAAACAATTAATTTTGGATCTAGTTGAATGAAAACGGTGCACTACGAAATATATTTTTATTGCTCTTAAATAAATATACTTGAATGATGACTCACTTGGCCTAAACCGACAAGCGTATTCCCCAGAATCTCCCTGATATATATATATATATATATATATATATATATATATATATATATATATATATATATATATTATTTTTTGGTAATATTCAGGTAGCATCAGAGACGAAAAATATAGTGCGAATCAAAATATGTTATTTTTAAATGTTATTGATAACGGATACAAACTTTTGGGGCGTGCAGTCACAACGCTAAGGTTGATTTTATTAGGAAAAATTTAAGTGAATTTAAGTATTTAAGAATAACCTTATACAGTTTATAATTTTAAAAAAAACAGGGATCATAACATTCATCGAGTGATTAGTAGTCAATGTATCTTTAAAATTTTGTTAGCGAAGGGATTTCGCCATTTTATATCATTTAAAATGATTCATTGTAATGCCATATAAATTGAACTTCACCACATATTTGCTTTAAAAGAACTGATCTGACGTGCAAAATTTTCGGGATAACAACTGAGACATTAATCTACTTAATGAACAGTTTAGTTCATGTCACAATACCTGATAAACTCCTGCAAAAAGAAAATTCGCAAATTTTCATATTAGTAAAGAAAAACGCACACAAATTCAACCTTAGCGTTCGACTTCAGGCTCAAAAGTTTGTATCGTTTAACAATAACGCATTTAATATATATATATATATATATATATATATATATATATATATATATATATATATATACGTGTGTGTGTGTGTGTGTGTAAATGTGTGTGTGTGTGTATCTGAAATTTTTAAATTCAAGTGAAAAGTATTAACAATTTCATTACTTTTCTTGAATATATTCATTAACGCTTGTGATCGTTTTCCTTTGGTAAAAAACTGTTGTCAAATCTAGGCACTTCGTAAACAAACCAAATCTCTCTGGTTTCAAACGTGGTAGGAATGGTAAACTGAGGAATCCGAGGAAAACACGAACAATAGTTGTGAGAATTAATCGAACTCAGAGAGTTTTGCGAAACATAACATGCGTGATCCAGGAATTTTTGCGGCAGACAAAAGAAACACAGGTCTGAAGAAAATTACCTTTCGTGATAAGAGAACAGCTATTAAATCACTGGGCTAAAATCTCAATTATTCCATGATTCGTCTAAAAACAGAAAGCTCGCAAGGCGGTAAAAAAAAACCCCGAATAAATGAAGATTCAGGCAGACAAAATGAGTACAGCGTCCATCATTTGAAAATTATAAACAACATTGAAAGAATTCATCACACTAAATTAACTGGAAATCATTGCATTAGCTTATAGAGTTGTTATTTCGAGCGAAAAGCATAATAATATATTAGGTTGAGTCATAAGTAATTTCCTGTTTTGGGAACGAGTTGTAATGATGATTCTAAGAAACCGTTCCACAAAGATATCAACACAAGTGATGAA